TGCTTGAGATGTGTTTCTCTGTCCGGACTTGCGATTAGACAGTCGTCAACATACGTGTGTACGAAATTGAGACCTCGAAAAACGTCGTCTATGAATCTTTGGAATGTTTGAGCAGCATTCCTTAGACCGAAAGGCATTCGCAAAAATTCATAGAGTCCGAAAGGAGTTATGATAGCTGTTTTCGGTATGTCGTCAGTAGCCATAGGGATTTGGTTATACGCTTTAACCAAGTCGATTTTCGAAAAGACAGTTGTACCTTTCAAGGTAGCTGTCAAATCGTGAATGTGAGGCAACGGGTAACGATCGGGAGTGGGTTTCGCGTTCAATCGCCGATAGTCACCAGTTGGACGCCAATCGTTGCTGTCCTTTTTAGGGACCATGTGCAACGGAGATGCATATGGGCTACTTGACGGTCGTATGATTCCTAAGTCCATCATGTGATCGAATTCGTTTTTCGCTAACCTTAGCTTTTCCGGAGCTAGTCATCGTGCTTTAGAGAATACAGGTGGTCCTGTAGTCGTGATGTGATGTGTAACATTGCTGGTTACACACGGTAGTTTCGGTTGAGTTTGTTGTATCCCAGGGTACTTATCGAGAAGTGGTTGATAGAGTGGGTCTATCATATGTTTAACTGTGACTGGGGATACTCTACAACCAGTAAAGGAAGTTACGCAAACGGACAAATTAGTGTTTCCGTCTACTAGCCTCCGTTTGCGAGTGTTGATGATCAGATTGTGGTGTTGTAGAAGGACCATACCAATGATTGGCATAGAAACATCTGCAACAACGAAAATCCAGTGGATGGGTTTGCGTAAACCCACGTTAAGGTAAACGTACCTTTTGCCATACGTAGCGATCGGTTTTCCGTTTGCCGCCTGTAAGTTTAGGGCCGATTCGTGTAGTCGGTCGTTAGGATTTGCTGGGAGAACGCTAACTTCTGCGCCATTGTCGACGAGGTAACGAACTCTCGTTGTCACATCTGTGACGAATAACAGACGGCTTTGTTCGCCGGCTACGGTTGCCGTTAACGCGTGCCGGCTTGGAAGTTTCCCGAATTGTTTTTCGAATCAGTCGGTTTCGTGTTGGGAAAATTGCAGGGTTTTCTGCAATTTCTGGAAAGCTTTCCATACTGGTTATGATACCAGCACCAGTCGGGGTTATCTGTCTCTCGTGGTCTAGAGACAGATCGCTTACGAGAAATGCTTCTACGTGGTGTGCGCGATCTCTTACGGTCGGTACGAAGACTAAGATAACGCGTGAGTATGTGACATAAGTCGTTTATATCATTCTGAGTCGTTTGAGGTTTTTCTTTGACTGAAAATACCTCGGTAGTAGATTTCGTAATTTCTAATATGCGGTCGGCAGATGCAGCTAGCTCGTCTAAGGCATTGTTCTGGAACGAGACCAGAACTGCTTGCACCTGTTGGGGAAGTTTTGACAAGAAGAGTTGTTTGAATAGGCCTTCGTCGAAAGTTCTTGGGCCTATTACCTCTCTCATCCGTTGCAACATGTCTGTCGCAGAACCATGTTGCAGGTCGATATTGTTGAAGAGTTGATCTAACCTTTGTCGATCGGTTAGGTCTCCTCGTTTAAGAATCGAGCGTTTTAAGATTTCGTAAGGATCGGAAACATCACTAGTAAACATACTAGGTGTTACGTACCTGTTGAATTCGCGCGGTAGTGCCTTGACTACTGCGAGGAATTGTGCGCGTGTGTCGTTCACGCCGTGTTCGGAGAAGTCGGCTTCTGCGTAGCAAAACCAGGCTTCGATGTTGTCGGGCCAGAAAGGCATCAGTTGAAACGAAGGCGGGGACAAAGTCTTAAGCTTGAGTACTTTAGGTGTCTGTTCAGTCATGGTGAAGTATGAAGTACGATAATGAACAAGGGGAAAATATATATATCCAGGAAAAAACACGAAAAAAAATCACAATGTTTAAAAAAGTTATAAAAGAAGGCAATGATATATAAAAATCCCAAAAAGGAACAGACACACAGTTGCAATTAGGTGTACCAGATCACGTCGGTTTCACCAATGATGATGTCACAGGTATTCAGTGTTTGACAACGCTTCTACCAGTAACACCTTCTAATATATTTCGTTCCCGCCCAGAGAAATCAAAAGACAGAGTCGAGGAGATCGGAAGAGTATATTTGGCGATGACCAATATATCGGAATTCTCTGATCTAATCTGGCTAGCGATTGCGGTTGATGTTGAGCACGGCGTTACCACACGTGATCTGGTGCGGATGACTGACCGAGCGCCTTCAGCTAGGTGAGTCCACTAAAACATATGGTCAGCATCCAATGTCGAAAACTTAGTGCTATTTATTTTGGGGATTTATTTACCACTACAAGCTGAAAGACACATAAACACACGATATATATAATATATATTTATATTTATATACGAACCTCCTAAAGGCTCATACGTTACTAAATCAAGCTATACTACAAAAATGCTACCGAACCAACACATCAAATATGAAATCGGTCTTGGAGCAAGCAGCTAAAGGTCGCAGAAATGAAAAAGCGGTGGTTTCAATCATAATTTCTCATTGGTAGTTTTAGCCGAGTTTTCCTCAAGCTGAAACATGATTTCATATTCCCACAATACTTCGAAAAAAATTATTTTATTATTTGAATCTTTCCTAGTACTTTCTTCGACTTAGTGTTTAGCAAATCTGTTAATCGGCTGCCCAATCTCCCGATTTTGGGAAAAATTTGATCCGTTAAGGGATCCGCAAAATTTTGGGGAAATGACATCAAAAAACCGAAATTTCCCAAAACTGGGGACCTCCCCTTTACATTAACCCAGAATTTTACTACACTTTTAGGAAAGCCGTCTATTTACTGATAATTATCAGGGTTTTAAAACCCTGAAATTTTCCGTAATTTTGAGGAAATCCAAAGCATCTCGTTTTAACGCAGTATTTTTCCACAGTTCTCAATAGATATCACAGAAAGGTCTGGAGATTTAATAATAAGTACCCAAGAGCTTATACTCATGTATTCCAACACAGTTCAAAAGCAACATAACTACAATTGATAACAAAAACCAATATGTTGCCATAATTAAAAGACTGACGCGTTATACATAGAAATCTTTATTCAATTTTAATAAAGTAAAAACTTTAAATTAGTGCATTAGTTTTAGTTCCTAATGATTGCTCGTGCTTTGAATAAGTACATTGAGTTGATGTTGAACTTTCAGTCAGTGTGTTCTACAAAAGAAAAAAAAGTACTCTTATGAGAGCAAATAAATGTCATGGCAATCACCAAACTTATGAATCCTGATTGTCATGTAAAAGGTTGATGGCGTACCAACGGTATAGAAACCCAATCTCCCAACTTTTAGGAAATCCTTAAAGTTTAATAGCTTTCTCCAAAATTTTGAGTAAATTTCGGGAAAACCCCCCAAATCTATGTTGCGCAGTTTTTCAGACAAAAATCTCATCACCAGTACATTTTAGAACCTTTGAAGATAAAATAAAAATAAAATGTTTTCAATATAATTATGAACTTTAATCACGAAAACGTCCCAGTGGACTTTCCAGTTGGTAAGTCAACTGTGACGTATACAGCTTCCATTTCAGCAACCTGTAGTTCTTCAGAGGTGTACAAGTAATCGTTCATTTTGCGTTTTACAGTCCTAACAATAAATGAATTGTGCACGTTTAGCAATTTAAATTTTCGGCTTCTCTGTTCCATACGGAAGCGTGCCATCGTCGGGTGCATTTGTAACCGAGTAAAAGATTCTATTAATCCATCAGCAATATGGTAGTCATCTAAAAACAATGAAATCAAAGTGACTATAACTTACCACAACGATGTAATACTGTGCATTTTCTGAAACAAAAGCTACTGTCGCTATCGATACTATCACGAATATCGGTTAGGGTCACATCACGATAAACAAACAGTTCGTTGTTCAGCAACTTTGTTTTCAACCCATTATGGTAGTGAAGTCCTGTTTACAGAAGCTTCGGTTCCACGTTATGGCAGCGATGTAGTACACTTCTTACGGACTTGAGGAGTTCTGGAATGTACACCCGCGAAAGGTCCAGAATTCTGTTTGCCTTCTTAACCGTAATGTCACCTTTCATCATATCAATTACAACTCTGTCTAGATGTTGTTTCATTGATAGATGAACAGGTGGAGACATTTCGGAAGTTGTACCATCTTTAACTTGGTAATAAAGAAACCTTAACTATACCGTTGGCTGTACACTGGACATAACTACATAAGTCAGTGGCCGAATGTAGGACAATACTGCCACACTGCTCTGAAGCTACGGCGGTTCCTACTTCTTCAAACACCAACTGAACTTCGGTTCTCATAGTCTAAATGAAACAATTAACTGTAGTCACTGAACAAAAGCATTAATCGGAATTGTGGACAGTACAAATAACCCACCTACATGGCGCAAAAATTTTGAAAAAGTGGGAACCTTAAGGTTCACAATGTCCGAAGTTTGGCAAAATTTTAGGGTTTTCTCCTAAGTCTAGTGGAAAATGCGTATTTTCTCACAAAATAATCTGAGATCTCAGATTAAAACCTGAGACCAGGGGGAATTTCGAGGTATTTTCCTCGTATAGAGAAATATTTCACCAAAAGTTTCTATTGTGGCTTCCTTGAAACTGATAAAATTTCCTTTGAATCAGGAGATCGAGTTGACCCCATATATTTGTCTTGCTGTATCAGTTGGTGCTTTCATTTATTTGATCGTAAAACGAAGTTTAATGGATGTTGCATGTGCTGTAAATTTCATTCCCTATTCCGATTAATTTTTAAAACCCTACTTTCAAAGGCTATCCCGAACCTTGTGTTTTAAACTTATGCTTATTTCAAATTGTCTTGTAAAATGCATGGTAAACGATATATGTGTTTTTAGAAATACACAGTGTTCTATATTTCATGAATAATGATTATTTCTGTTCTTATTATCCGATTGTAAAAATCTTCTGCATTCTGAGTCAGTCAGTCAGCTACAACGTAGGACCAGGCACATATATGCATCGGTCCAAGTTGTCATACTTCATTTACACAACAAAATGGACACCGGATTCATAAAAGTAGTTAATTCAGAGGTGGTAATATATAAAAGAAAGATTGCAATAAGGACATAGTACAGGAAGAAAGGATTAGTTCGTAGAAAGAAAGATATGAAGCGATTTTAATCTCTTAGTTTAAGGAAAGACAGAGAGTGTATACACCGACGCCATTGTGATTGATTCTGAGCCATGTCCCCAAGAGTCTCCAACCATTGCATTCTGAAGTTAGATTAGAATAATAGCTTACCCTCATAGCATTTACAAATAATGTTTACAAAGAGTACTTGAGGAGTCATTAAGTCTTCCTTACTCCAGCAAAAGATGGAGTTTTTACGGCTTGCGCAATTAAAATCATTTGCAGACACATTTCTCTTGAACTCCATCAGGACTTGATACAAATTTACCTTGGTTGTTATTAAAGTAGTATTTAGTTTTTTTATCAAGCGATTTACTATGGCTGAATTCATATAGTGTTCGACACTCATAAGGCTGATAAATGTGGGAATTCTTATCCGTTTAAATCCACTTAAAGTTATCAAACAAAATATGAGGTGAATAACGAGTTTCACTAGATTATTCAGCGTGTTTATATCCAATATGAACAGCATGGACAGTATAATCTCTTTCCAACGGCTTCATCTCTTTGGAAAATATAATTTGTTAATAATACTTAACGTTTTGTTCTCTGGTTAGGAAAATTAATATTCTTTCGTCTTCGTTAGTATTGTCTTTCTTGATCGTGGAAAGTAGTATTTACTTCTAATATTCTAAGGGCTGGTGGAGCGACTTTGTACTTTCAAGTAGCATTATCACTCAGACCTACCTCTTTTATCAGCGTTTCTGCGTTCAAAAATACACAATAAGCCAACAGTTTTACTTGCAAACACAACTTGATGACATGTAATTTATCGAATCCTTTAATTTCTAAAGTCCATTCTTTATTTTCTTGACTCCTGTATGTTTTACTTGCCTTTGTTTTGGGAAAATTATGTTATTTTGTTGTTAACACTGGTTTTATTTCATTGTTCCTGATATTTAATCTTATTTCGTTTCATTACCGTAATATAAATCAATACATTTGTTTTTTAGTGATTCAGACTATATAGGATGGATGGCTTTGAGTGTTTCGATGACAGTGATGTTCAAGAAGAAGATTTTAAAGGATTTTTTTATGGATGCTATATTTTGGTGTCCCTCAACCCAAAGTTTCGTGGCAAAACTTATATAGGTTTTACTGTAAATCCTAAGAGGCGCATACGACAGCATAATGCTGGTTGTTTAAAAGGTGGTGCGAGGTCCACTGCTGGTAAAGGACCATGGTTAGAATTGTGCTTTTGAATAATCTTCTTCAGGGAAATGGTTTTAATTGTTTATGGGTTCCCAAATGCGATATCTGCACTAAGAGTAAATAACATAAAAATACGAACTTCTCATCCCTTTATTTTTAGTTTGAATGGGCATGGCAAAATCCAAACTTATCACGTCGACTCAAAGATTCCTTACCAATTAGAAAATCAAGAGAAACCAGTTTTGACTACCGTTTACGCGTTTTAGCATTGATGTTATGCTCAGGACCTTGGAACCGTCTGGGTTTAACTATTCAGTGGATCAAACAGTCATATGCACGTAATTTATCGGAAAATTTGGTGCCTCCTCTACACATGCCAATAGCCTTTGGACCCATTGACTCAAACTGTTCAGAAAATCCCAGTACTAAAGTCGCGTCATTTGGTCTTTGTCAGATTTGTAACATTCCATTTTCAGTAAGTGGTTGTTATTTTATCGAGTGAAAAAAATTTAATTGATTTACTTCAATCGTAATTTAAAAAACTCAGCTGATAAATATTAATCTGAATCGAGGTTAGTTCGAAGGTTCTACTTACACACACCATTACAGTATGATTTGACGTTATTCGTAAGAAAGGAGTCCGACAATACAACCAAGTAACTTTGCATAATTTTTAGTGGGGAATTTCATATTTTCAGAAAGTCTAAGTTGGTTAAATTGGGTGCTGTACTAACCAAAAAATATCTGACTAGTTCTCTGAAAATATTTGGTTAGTGTATAATCGTAGGCTTGTGAAAATTTATCATTATATATTAGGATTTAAGCATTAGCTCAATGAACATTTGTGCCTGTAGTTATTTAAGGAATCCGCGATCGAATTACTTATTGAAACAATTATAAGTGTTGGACGTGCATTTTAGTTTCAGACTACATAAATAACGTGATTCAAAGCCAGTTTAATAGAGTTAGATACTGGGAAATCGTAACATTACCATTCATTTGCAACATCTCATGAAACATTCAAGTAAATTAATATTTTTCACTTCAATTTTGTTTCGATTCTCTTGCTTTATTGTTAGCAAAAGACTGGACTTCTGTACTTTCTGATATTAGCACAAGGTTTCATGATAGCTACTACATGACTACCTGTCTGTTCTATTGAAGGCAGACTGTGGTTTGCAGGACATGTTAGTTACTCTTAAGACAGTGGTGGACCTTGCTAATCTTAGGGTCTTGTTGCAGTGTTTGTCGATTGGAGTCGTATCTAATATGTAAACTACTGAAATATTTCTACTTAAATATCCGTGATCACGTAGTCGTATATAATAAAACGTATTCTACAAAAATATTCACATTAACAATATGTAGCTGTTATACATGAAGTTCTGACATAGCGGAGCAAAACTTTTGTGATAATCGTAAACGGACTGGAACCGATGGTACGTAAATCGACACCAACTATAATTGCTAGTTCCAAATCTTCATATCTTACAAGTCTCCTTGCCTGTAGCTGCGAACAATGTATTGTAGGGAGAAATACCATCCTTTTATGTATGTATTTTCTTTGTGATGATTGTTAGTTAATTAATAATTGTAACGCGGGCGAATGTCTTACTGAACAAATCTACCGGTTGAATGCATGACAGAAATAGTCATTGCCATCAAGCATTATAATAAGCGACTATCATAGCGAATTAATATCTGTAATTTTACCCTTGATCGCTACTCATCAACTGCTAAAGATAACAAAGTTTTTCTGCTTAGAGATCTTTTGATCAGCCTAGAGCATATGAATGACTTCGTAGTCGAGTTATGGATACATTTTTCACCGTGCATATCGGAAATATCTTTTTGGGACATATTTACCTTATTTACCAGTTTCAAAGCAGGAAGTAAAGGGATTTTATACGTATGTATTCACATTTTTTGTTTACGTCGATCTTAGTTGGTTGATGGCTGACTAATTATTGATACGGATAGGGATGGGGTTCTTCACAACTCGCCATTTTTTGGGCCGATGAGATAAATAATTTGTTAAGGGCCAAGTATATCTTCCATCAGTACTCATTTCTCTACTTATGCAATATGAAATTTGCCAAGAGTACGCATATTTGATAGCCTATTCCCATACAGACCTGTCTAGGTTTAGTGAATACTATCGGTTAGACAATGATTTGGGATGGAATTACTGAAATTATGACTACAATCCACTAAGGTAGTTATGAACTACTACACATGTATATCGACTATTGGTTTCAAGGCGTTAAACTAAATTGGGTAAGGATATATTCTAACAGCATCATATTGTTTAAACCAGAATATATTATCAGTGTAATAAGTGGCTGATGACCATTTTTTTTACATGTATGGGTGGATTTAAACTTTCAGGTCGTGACTCAAACTTTTAGAGAATAAAGGTTAAAAGCTATCAACCTCTTTTCAAAGTCGACAAAATATCAAAAATTCATCCTCGCTGTCCTTCTTTGTATCTTAATTTTTTTTGCTATTCATTCACCTAATCACTTCCCGATATTGTTGGTTTTATCTCTATCTGTCGTTGATGCAGCTTCATTGGAATTAAAAATTTTAGATTGACGATTAAATAACATTAGGTGTTTGTGTATGTGGCGTTTATAAGTTAACTTGATATAATTGCTGTGCTAATGAGGTATGACAACTTGGACCGACGCATATATGTGCTTGGTCCTACGTTGTAGTTGACTGACTGACTGAACTTGATGTGATAGAAATAATCATATTTCATGACTTCGCCAAACAATAACATAAGTGTTCTCAAACTTCCCTAGTTTTTTGTAATCATAAATGGTTGTTACTGTCTTATCGTTTCCGTATTTTCCGTTAACTTTATTTCATTAATCTCAAGCATACTTTTCAAAATGCAGGTTGATTCTTCAGTACCACTTACTTGTCCAAGTTCTTGTCCTCTTGGTCAGTGGCACTTATTATGTCTAGCAAACTATATGACTCAGGCTGAAACTGTGCCTGATCGTTTGGAAATATCATACTTGATACCTTTGTCTGCCTCATGTCCTGCATGCCTCAATGCTGAACTTCTATGGCCATCACTTATAAAATCATGGAAAATGAAAACAATCGCTTCTGAACATTCTTGTTCGTCTACCAGTTTATGAACTGCTCACTAGTAGCTCTCATCATGTACATAGTCATGAATGTAATTTATAATTTACTTCGAGTAATACTGTTTGAAATATATTTTTTGGATTCACTGTTCTTGTTATGATTCGTTAACTTGAATGCTACTGCTGATTCGTCTTACTCAAACGGAACGAAGGGTCAATGATTCAGCGACTCGATAGCTATTGTGGTTCGCTGTCCCCGACTCAGCTAACTCGATCAAGTCTGGGTGAGGCGTAGAAAGTGTATTCTACAGGCAAACAGCAGATTACAAGTCAGGTCAGGCACACAAATCAAGCGTATTTATACAAATATTTACAGTCGATATTGTCATGGAGAATTTTTAAACATTAATCAATGAGTTCATTAATTGACCGCTATTTAACATTTAATCGATAGTTCATCAACTGACCTATTTGCACATTTAATCGATAGGTTCATCAACTGACTGCCATTCAAACATTTAATCGATAAGTTCATCAAATGACCCCCATACAAATATTTAACCATTTAATCGATAAGATAAAATTACAAAATATGAGTTTCGGGGATCTGTCGTCTCCAACAGTTCTTTCGATAGTAAATGTAATTGTGTTACTATCTTTGGAAATTTTTTGGCTCAGTTGTCAAGTTCTATTAGGTTGCGGACTAGTTTTGCCACTTTCACCTCATATGTCGGTACATTATTCTATATTCCTGTTTATTATGAAAGAGCAGTTTATTGTTAATATAGGTAAAAAACCAATAAGCGGTAATCACCAGGTAAATGGACCAAATGACGATTTATTCACAGAACTCAGATTTAAACCTCAGTCAAACAAATATCAAGAAACAAAACCATTAGGAAATTGTCATCGGATATATTACAGAAATGAAGCGCGATTCTATTGTTAAATCGAAATTGTTTAAGGGTTACGTGTTAGATCAATGAAGGATAAAAGTAAGGTTTATACAAAACTTAAAGAGCCATCCATCTCCACCAGTCATGCCAATACTGTCCATCATTTGTATTAATATATGTACTGTTAAACACAGTGATAATCGTCCTAGGTGTACTAAAAAGAGAAAGAAAATAAATTATATTTTTTCTTCTATCACAATGATGAAATAAATACTTTTTCAAACTTTGGCGTAATAATTCATAGTCACTTCAAGAGACTCATGTACACAACTCTCAGTATAACCCTCATTCAAAGTTATTGCTGTAATGTGTATTTCCATGTAATATTTCCATTAATAACAAATAATAATTACGTTATTGTTGGTATATGTTGTTAGTATGATTAATTGCGTTAAAATTTCATAAAAAACCCAAACAATTTCAAATCACCTCAACACATATTTCACTCCATTTTGTAGTCAGGGTCCTCGTGACAACTGCTGTCAGTAGTTAGAGACTTTGGGTGAAGTGGCTTAAAATCATTCACAATGGCGTAGATACATTCACTCTTTATATTCTTCTCGATCTTGAATTCTGGTATCCTATCATGTCTTTACAAACCATATTCTCAAGGTTTACTAAGTTACTACGATCTCTTGTTATTTTCATTTCGTCGTACTAATCTGGTATGTCAACTTGGTCTGATGGATATCTGTGACAGACTGTGTTTATGATGTGCCTGTCTGATTCTATCCTTGCTACCAAGTGCTTTCTGCTAAAACGGCAAGACATCACTACTGAGTTTGCTATGCAAGCTTAAAATTCGAGTTTTTTTAAAAATAGAATAACATACTCCTGAAATGTTTTTGTTACTGTTACTTAAAAACCATATTTCAAGAAACGACATCTAATAAATATGTTTGGAAAGAGGACTTTTTCTAGTGTATAGACTCTAAAACATATCAGTCATACTATTTCTAACCTTTTTATCAAAAGAGAACGCCATTATTTGGATTCGTTGAAATGTCGAAAAAACCAAAAATTACGAAAAAATTGAAGAAGGAAGCTTCAATAATACTACCTAATTCTAATGGCCTTAGGATTGTTTATAATCTTTTAGACAAAAGTCTTAGTAACAATGAAATCACTCTACTAGAGGAATGACCGAATCCCAATTTACATAAAAAGCCACTCAGTCACCCTATAAATGATTCTGATTCTAAAAGCACTAACCGAACAACTGCCGAAAAACGTCCTCATTTACTACGTCAAAAACGTACTATATTTTGACAAAACGGGAACCCATCCCACCTAATACTTAAAAAGAAGTATTGAAAGCTCTTCACTCACTACAAAAGGACAGAACTTTTGTAATTAATAAAGCTGACAAATTCAATACAGCAAAAGTCATGAATAGACAGGATTATTTTGCAAAAGCTTATGAACATCCACCCACAGGACCGTATCTAGAGATTGATTCAGAAAATATTTATATGACTAGATATGAAGTCAAATCAACGACAGATTAGAAGTATATTTGTCGTGATAATGCACATCTGACGGTAAAAATTCTATACTATAGCAAAAAGTTATAGTATTCAACAAAGCTATCATTATCGTCTAGAATTCGAAAGTTGATAGGACGGATTGCACAATAATTTTAGAAGAATGGATGAGTTTATGTAAATTTTGAAAATCAGGCAAGTAGAAATCACAGTTGAGTTGAGAATAATTTCAATATCGATGAAGTGACATCTAACTTAGCTGAAAGGGCTTAACAAAATACCTAGCAGTGAGAATAATAACAACAATGTTACTGGTAATTAGGAACGACTTTACTCGAAATTGTAAATGCACCAAGGCAGTGGCCAATTTATTGTTGTATCTCTAAGTACATAAATCTAGTGAGTTTTTTAATCGCTACGAGAAATCACGAAATATGATGAATTCATGCTATTTTGGTTTAGTTGTTGTCTTAGCTTTACTCATCCCCACTGAACCCACCCAACATCGAATTAGCACCCACGGATGTTGGCCCACCAAAAATTGAAGAAATCAGCATGGCCATCAGACAAATCAAGAGCGGCAAAGCAGCAGGACAAGGCAACAGTCCAGCAGAGACACTGAAAGCAGATGTAGCAGTAAATGCAAGGATACTCCACATTCTATTCAGCAACATATGGGCTGAAGAACAAGTGTCAACAGACTGGAAAGAAGGACACATGGTCAAGATACCAAGGAAAGGCGATCTCAGCAAGTGTGAGAACTACAGGCGCACCACTCTTCTCTCAATATCAGGAAAAGTCTTCAACAGGGTATTGTTAAACAGTATGAAGGACTGCGTAGACGCCCAACTTCGAGACCAACAGGGTGGATTCCGTAAGGATCGATCGTGTACAGACCAAATCGCAACTCTACGGATCATTGTGGAACAATCAATTGAATGGAATTCATCACTCTACATCAACTTTATTGACTACGAGAAAGCATTTGATAGTGTGGACAGGACAACACTATGGAAGCCTCGACACTACGGCGTGCCAAAGAACACATTACGTCGAGAAATGGAGACAGACGTGAGGAAAATGGACAAAAATTGGATAGAACTGGAAAGGAAGGCCCAGGACAGAGTGGGTTGGAGAATGCTGGTCGGCGGCCTACCCTCCATTAGGAGTAACAAGCGTAAGTAAGTAAGTTAACTTTACTCATTCTTACTAAGGGAACTAGTCGAATTAATTTTACGATGAATTTACTGTTCAGAATTCTCCATTTACATTTATGCAGAGTTTCTGGGATCCCGTTTTCTAGTAATTTCTTTGGTTATTTGTTGAATGCGCTGTTTTGTACGGAATAAGCTATGAAATAAATACGGACAAGATTTTGTGTTCTTAAACTCTCATAAGTCTGCGTTATATAGTCTGTTAAATCTTTATCGAATCTTCGACGATACGATCTAGTCACACGTCAGCCACTGCAATATAAAATACAAGACTATCTGCAATAAGGTATTGTTATTAAAAAATTATATGTAATACACTACAAACCTCAAATCTTAGAGCGCTTGCGATATTTACTGAGTTCGCGTACAATCCGAGAAAATTGCGTTCTCAAAAAGATATGAAGTGATAGCTAATAACTCGAAATTACAATGATAGACTATATAAAAACGATAAAGAAAAATTTTAAAAAAATGTGGGAAGTATAATAATTAAACAAAAGTTCACTAAATGCACTGTAATTAAAAGTACCTGTTTCATGTATTAGGAAAATTCAGCCAACAGAATGTCTTCGCTCCATGTTACCACTCACTACTGTCAAAAATGTTTAGAAACGAAGCGTGTTACTGAATACTATTTAGTAGTATAGACTTATTACACAAAAGTGAGTGGGCTGTGAAGTCAAGACGGATAATGTAAACAGATTTATCCATTGGATAACAGAAAAGGTTATTGGATTAGAACTTTTAGCATGTAACGCCTAAGGATTTAGTTAAATTAATGAAAATGAGAGCGTGGTTATGTTTAATTCGACTAGTGAACTAGTGATAAACTATATGCGATATTTCCGTCCATCCAGGGTGAAATACAGTGAATTCATAATGATTTCCCTTTTGTAAAGGCTGACATTATGAGTAATAAATTTTATGTCTTCTTAAGAGCATATAAACTAAGTTACTTTTACCACTGGCTTTTTCGTAGAACATATATGTTCCCCTCTTTCTTTTTTTATTAATTAACTTTTAACCGAAGATATCTTAATTTAGCGCACCAATTAGAATTTTATGTAAATCTTCACTTAAAACATTTAAATTTCCTTTCACCTTAGTCAAAGATTTATTAAAAGTTGCGAGTGGGTAACGTTTCGTTAAAGTAATTATTTATATTTTTGTAGTAACATAAGCTTAATCATTCAGTGAATTTATTATTATAACTGACTACAAACTTGTTAAACTACCACTAAATAAATACCTTATCTTAATAAATATATACATGGACAATCTGGAACTGAAAGATATCTGATGCTAATGTTTTCTTGATATTCTTGTAGAAGTTTCACTGATTAATAAATGGTAACAATTTATCTCATTGTTACATATCAATGAGAAAGCCAATAAAA